GGTGCCCGGGGAGCAAAGCCTGACTCGCAGCCTGGCTGTCACCAAGGGGCTGGCCAGGGGGACCCTGCGATGGTGCAGGAAGGTTTTCTGCAAGCTGCGGATGGTGCAGACAGGGACAGATCAGCAGAGCACACGAAGGTCCTGAGCGCAGGAACTCAGGCTGCAGGAGAGGGGTCAGACAGCCTCGAACCGGGCGCTGTTACAGACCCTTTGGTGAGCGTAGAGGGTTTCGGTCCTGCCGCTGCATCTGCGCGGGGAGAGGGCTCGGGGGGCAGGTGGCTGGAGGAGTACCGGTGGTGAGGGCACGGCGCAGCAGGGTGGAAGTGCCGGGCATCCCAAGGAGGACACGCAGCAGCAAGGGGAGTCCCCCAGCAGGGCCAGGGCAGGGGAAAGCACCTGCAGAGCTTTGGGGAAAATGCAGTTCCCGCTCCTGTTGACCCCTCCGGACCCTCAAGAGACACAGGGAGGGATGATGATGACGCCTCGGGAAAGCTACCCCACAGCTCCCAAGACTTGTTGGAATGGAGCGGAGCTGCCGCAGGACCCTCCTGCCAAGCACCGGCGTGGGGAGGAGCGAGAGGCTCTCGGGCTGGAGCCAGCGCGCTGGCAAAACTCCCAGCCCCAGGTGTGTTTTTTTAACTTGGCCTTCTCCTTCTTCTCTGCAGAGTAAAGACCGAGACAGGAAGACAGCAATTCGGAGCTAGATGCTCATAGTTTTTCAGGAAGGACAACATTGAGGAGCAGAAGGAGGAAGGATGGAAAAGCCACACACACAAAAACCACAGCCACGGACACTCCTGCCTTCACCCTGCTGCTGGAGAGAGCTGCACGGCGTCACCCCGGAGGACCTTACCCTGACCTGGACACATGCCTCGTGAGAGGCCGGGCGTCCTCCCGGCTCAGTGGAGTGACGGCAGACGGGAGGTAAACACGGAGGCGGGGGATGGCAGGACTTTGCAGGACCGCACGTGGCGGCTCGGAGGAACGCTCGCTGCGCAGGGACGCTCCATGACGGTGCAGCCAACGAACGCAGCCACTGTCCGGCGAGCCAAAGGGGCAGGGGACCCACTCCGGGGCTCCTTGGAAGGACAAGGACGGTCCCTGCTCCGGTCTTTGTGGATGCCATGCACAGCTGCTGCCGGGGGAGAGCCGGTGCTCGGACGTGCCCCGTCCCAGGTCTGACTTGAGCAGCGTCGGCGAAACCGCTTACGGAAAAGACCCTGCTCTGCCCGTCCCCTTCCAGCTTTGAGCCACTCCATCCCCTGAACTCTGAGTCCTGGGGTGCTGCATTTGTTGAGTTTAATCAATACATGCTGGTGTTTCATGTCATTGATATGATAATATAAAGCCTGAGCAATTTGTATAATTAAAAATTAATATGGTTCAGACTCACAGCAGGAGCTTCCTTCCTTCCAGAGCCCCCTCACGCAATAAACCTCTGGTTTCACCCTCACTGCCTTTAGACACCGTCTGCTCAGCAAAGCCATTGAGCCGCGGCTCGAGGTCTGCTCCCGCAGCGCCGGGCACAGCCCCTCCGCCTGTCCCCCTGCCCAGCGCGGGGTCTGGGGGGGAAACCCTTCACCCTTCCCGCGGGGTGGCCCCGAGGCGAGCACCCACCCCCCTGTGCCACGCTCAAACCCAGCTGGAGGACCAGGTAAAAAGCAGGGACGCCACGAAAACCAGATGCCGCAGCTGAGCTGAGTTTCCTGGGGAAATAAATCACACACGTACACCCCAGCATCCTGGCGCTTGGCCGGCGCTCCTCCAGGCAGTGCCTGCTCTGAGATCTCACCAGCCTCTGGCTGCAGGGCAATGAAATGCTCCTTCTTGTGGCACCAAAACGGCATCCCGAGGTTATAAAAGGGAGTAAAGGTTGAGCCCCAGCTCCCTCGAGCGGGAGGCGAAGGGATGCTCGGCTGTCAGCACGGCTGCGAGCCCCTCCTCGCTCCCTCCTGCAGATCAGGAGCCCAACGGGACTGAGCCCCAGTGCCCGACGGCTGCCAAAGTGTGGGGCACTGGTGGGACGGGGCTCTGAGCTCTGCTGGAGACAGGAGCGACCCGTCCTGCGGGCACCGGGGAACGCCAGCTTCTCCCTGCCCCGCTAGCGGTACCCAGACCTCCTCCGAAGGACATGGGGTGCTTGGGCACCAAGAGTGGGGCTCCCCAGGGGATGCCCAAGGCCACCGGCCAGCTCAGCAGGGAGAGGCACACCAGCACTGTGTGCATGCAGGAGGGCTGGGCAAGAGAGGGATGGAGAGGAAAAAATCATCACAGAATCAGAGAATGGTTTGAGTTGAAGGGACGTTAAAGATCATCTATTTCCAATGCCCCCTGCCCTGGGCAGGGACACCTCCCACCAGCCCAGGTTGCTCAGAGCCCCGTCCAACCTGGCCTTGAACACCTCCAGGGATGGGGCAACCACAGCTTCTCGGGGCAACCTGCGCCAGGGGCTCACCACCCGCACAGCCAAGAACTTCCTCCTAATATCTGATGTAAAGATGAAGAAGAGAGGCAGTGCGGGGCATCGGGGTGGTGGGCTCCACGTGCTGCAGGAGGGGGAAGGAGGCCAGAGCCAGTGCTCCTCCCCGCAAACACAGAGAAGACACCCCAGCACATGGGGAGCCAGCAGACCACGGCGCCGCTGGCCCGCGCTGGCGAGCGCCCGCGGTGCAGAGCGGCCCAGCCTCAATGGCTAAAATATGCCACGAAGCATCTCCCTGCTCAGCACAGCACGGAGCCAGGCGCTGCCCGGGGGCTGAGATGGGAAGTCAACAAGGTGTCAGCCGCTGCGCCGAGCCCCTGGGGACCCCCGTACCTCATCCCCGGCTGTGCGTGGGACCCACCATGACCCTGAAAGAGGTCATGGGCCCCGCTGTCCCGTGACCCCGAGCACAGCGCTGCTGGTTTGAGACGTCCAGTGCTTTGCTCACGGGGAGCCTGGTTGGGTGCAGGGGGTTTCACGTAAGGATTTGGAAGCGCTCTGCTTTACAGAGATGGAAATTTTTATATTTTTAATTTCAGTATTAGTGGTTTTGAAGCTGGAGAAAGAGGTTTGGAAAGCCTCCCTGCCTCTCAGGCAGGACTCAAAGCATACACAAGCAGTGATGGATACTGTTAAAATGAAATTTGGAGGCGTTGGGGAGGAAAACTGCGATTCAGTGGAGTCCTTCTGAGTCCTGCAGATGAGGTTGTAACACTCAACACTTAAATGATGCTTCACCAATTCCAAGGGACGCTGCCAACTCGTCCCCACCCACACCGAGGCTGCTGCGGTCACGCAGGGACAGGGGATCGGTGCTCAGGCAAATAAAAACACGGCAGCGCAGTTTGCCTTCGCGTGTGCCTGGCAGAATGGTGTTGCCGATCCGCAGTGTCCCAGTACAGTCGGAGCATCCGAAGCGATGCGAAGCTGCCGAGCTGTGGCTCAGCACCCACAAGGTGCAAAAGGCACCAGTTTAAGCCACGGAGAGCCGCGGAGGAGGACTTGAGCAGCAATGCCCTGGCAGACGGCGCGCCGCACATACCTTGGCAGGCAGCAGCTCCGGGACACTGCCACCGGATCCCGCCGGGCCTCTTCCAGCCACACATTCCTCTCCCAGCTCATCACCGCGGGGCACTGCCACCACGGGCCCAGCACAGGCACAGCTCTGGCTGGGCAGAGCAGGGAAACAACTCCAGAGCCAACCAAGAAGGGATGTGCTTGCACAGGTACAGCTGCAGGAGATGCAGCTTTCCCCAGCACTCACCGGCTGCGCTGCTGCTGGCAGCACCGCGCTCTGGGCAAAGACGAGTGCCGACGGGTTGTGTTCTGCGGACACAGCTTGTGAGTGGAGGCAGCAGCCGGGGCCATTCCCCAGTGCAGCAACCACCTCTCTGACCTGCTCCTGACACACACGGGGCATGTACCACCCTGTGAGAGGTGAGAGCTCCCAGGACCAGCAGAAAAGCATCAATCACAGAATGATTAGAGTTGGGAGGGACCTTAAAGGCCATCGAGTCCCCCCCCTGCCCTGGGCAGGGACACCTCCCACCAGCCCAGGTTGCTCAGAGCCCCGTCCAACCTGGCCTTGAACACCTCCAGGGATGGGGCAGCCACAGCTTCTCGGGG